TTTTCACATCATTCACATTTGCATAGAAAAAAATCCTCATTTGCTTCAGCAATATCCCCATATAATCAAAGAAAAATTCCAGTCTTGATTTAGGAAAAAGAGTTCATTCCTTCATCCTTCCAAACAAGATACAGTACAACTGAACAGCAATGCACTTTACAGAAAAACACAACTGCATCTTATACTGCTCACTACTCTTTAACTAAAATTCAGATATTAAGGAAAAGAACTGCTAATCACATTAACACATTACAGAAATCAAAATTAACTTACCACACAAAATAAATTAAACATTAAATATTAACCTTTTCAGTGCAACATATACAGAAGTCAGAGTAATGGGTTCTAAAAAAAAGCATCAGGTTTGTTATAATAAAGAGAATGAAAAGTTGAACATTTTGGTAAGTTATTACACTAGGAAGAGGCGCTGCTCTTCAGTACTCTGTGTGTGTGTGTGTGCCCATAAGCACCACTAGATCTTTCAGAAAGCCTGGTAAAATCAATGGCTAGAGAGATCAGGTCTTATGTTAGAACATGGGAAGCAAACACATGCATTTGTCTTGTTTCTGTGATGTCCACTCCTTGAATTGTTCCACCCTCCTCGGCTTGGCAGGTTGGGAGAAATCATAGTCCAGAACTTACTAAGGGGTTGGGGTCTCCTGAGCAGTCTTAGAGTTTCATTGGTCAATCCCTGCCAAATTGCCTGGAAAAATAACCAGTGGCCTATGTGCTCTGAAAAACCTGGCTGCAAGGTACTAAGCAGTTTTCTATATCTGCAAAGAACAACCCCAGAACCATACATTCTCCTCCCTCACCAATGTGGGTGGGTGGGTGTCAGCCCACCTCTGCCTCCCTTCTTAGGAAGAACGACTCTAGGGCCATCCTGCCCTCCTTCTCTGCTGGGATACATAGCAAGCTCGCCCCTTGCTCAGTTCCACGTGTGTCCTGCTAGGACCCTGTCTTCCAAACCAGGGTTAGCTGCTGTCTATCTTTCCATGTAAAAGAAAACATTTCCTGCCATAATGCCTAAAGAAGTCACAGCCCGTAGAGCAGTGGGAAAATCCAGGCTCCATAAGAGATTTGGAAGCTTTTTAAAAAAATTTAGTTTTTAAAATGAGGGCTTTTCATTGTTTCCTGAGCCACTGGAAGCAGCTATGTTCTCTACGGCTAAGTGTGTGGCTGCTTATCAGCTCAGGCCTCTGGGATGACTCCTGCATCATAATGAACACTTGGCCTTCTAAAAGGCAAGGAAATACAGGGAACCTGCAGAGATGGATTAGAAGATATATTTTTTAACCCCCAAAGGGAGCATTTTTACAGCTAACCAAAGAACTATCACTGCCATGAAATGGCACAGGAATCCACTGCTTGTCAGTCCTTTGATTTCTAAAAGAGAAATCACCAAAGAGGCAAGACTGTCATATCCTGGGGCATGGACCATGGTCCAACCAGGCCTGCCTTGACCCAGCCTCTTCATCCAGCCCTTTTCAGACCTGCTGGTTTACAAAGGACTGACTTGGAAGGCACTTCTAGGGAGGCATACATCTGAGCCAGTGCACCGCCTGGTGTACAGGCACAGGGAAGGGGGCACTGGTGCCTGTGACTTGCCAAACCCGAGAACCAGAGCAGTCACAGACACTAAATCTGAAGAATTCTCAGGCAACCTCTGCTTCCACTCTCTGCCCATCCACATTTTCTCACACCTCTGCAAAGCCTCTTGGATGCCAATTATTGATAACGTCTTTAGGTTGGACATTGATCCTTCCATCCATTAGGAGAAGAAAGAGCCACAAAACGCTTCCATACCAGTTCATACTCTTTAAAGGCAATCAGACCTCCAAGAGTCTGTAACAGACTGAGAAAAGATGATCTTAAAATAAAAATGTCAACTCAAGTAAAAAGTGACACTACACCACTTTCTTTAGACTCTCTAAACCACAATCTCAGATTTCCAGGAGGCTCTGCTGAGAAAGGTGAGTGCAAACTGGGGTCTAAAAACCAGCGTGGATAGACAGGTCTCTGAGCAGAAGGTTACGGTCAAGCCTTATCTGCTGCTGTAAAACCGGCCCAAGGAATGCAAACTTGAACCCGTTTTCTTTAATAATTAAAAAACTGAAGCTGTTAGGTGTCTGAGCAGAAGGTTACGGTCAAGCCTTATCTGCTGCTGTAGAACCGGCCCAAGGAATGCAAACTTGAACCCGTTTTCTTTAATAATTAAAAAACTGAAGCTGTGTCACCTATGCTGTTAGGGGCTGGCTGTGAGCAGATCTAATTTCTGCACTTAGCGCTTCAGGTGTGCCATCATTTAGTAAGTATGTCAGTTAAGACACAGGTTGTGTAATTGTCTCAACTGTAAAAAGTAAAGAGAAAATTCATAGACATAAACTAGAGAAGAAGGATTAGGGGGAGGACAAAATTTCCCAATAGAAATTTCAAGCCAGCTTGACGTATGTTAAATGTCTCTTTCACGATGTGATAAGCTTGATGCACTGAAAGGTTAATAGGTGAGAGTCTTTCACTTTTCAAATCTTAGAGAATAAAGGGATTTCCCCATATAAGAAGTTTATGTATTATTTCACCGTTATCCTGTTTCCAGATTTTAATTCCATTCCTAGGGATGGATGAGCTCCCACTGTTTATCTGAAGGGACCCACTGCTTCCCACAGGCAGGTCCGAGGGGCTGGAACATAGCCAGATGCTCAGGAGAACAATTTCTCCTTCTCTTGAGGGTAAATAGAGACCCACATGGTGGAGGTGGCTTGTCAGAGCTTTTATTAGTAAAACCGGTATCCTGAACGGAAAAGAAAAATATCCAGTTGAATATTTCTCCTGATGCTTGAAAATAAATAGGAAAGTCAAATTTCTCCTTTTAAAAATAAAGCAATGAACCAACCAAGCAACAAACTGGAAGATAAGTGACTGGTCCCCCTTTCATGGGTTCAGCCTGAAATGCCCATGGCTGGCTACTATGCTCTATTTCTAAATACACTCTCAGAGGGCTCCCAAGGAAGTTAATCCACTTAATCACCAAGCAGCGTAGTATGTACTGTGTTTACCCTGTGTGGACACACACAGGCACTCTTCCTCTCTCCCCCAAGGAGGGGATAGAACCCGCTGCCGAATTTGATAACTTTTCTACTGCAATGTATCCAGGGCATTTACCTGCTTTGTGTCTTAAATGGCATGACCTCTGATCCCCAATCTTTGCTCCTGTCAGTAAGTCACCCTCTGGTTCCATCTCTGCACCTCCTGGGAGGCTTTTCCTGAGCCTTAGCTGTCTCAAAGAGGCCAGACATTTTGCAGTTAGTATAACTTTTCCGCCAGCAATACACTTATCATTAATGTAAAAGTCTGAACGGGTTTATGCTTTTTACATTAAGAGATTAAAAACAGGACCATTATGCATCTAATAAATAAGAAATTATCTCCAAGGGTGGTGACAACAAGAGAAGGTCTTCAACACCGTGTGTCTGCAGAAGATGTCAGGCTGGTTGAGGGGCTCATGGTAAGAGGACACAGCTCCTCTTAAACTTGGTGTCTTCACGCAACAAAAAGCAGTTTCCCCTTCTCCACTTTCTTCCCCAATAAGCATCTGAGAGATAACTATAACAACTTTAGGAATCTCTAGTGTTGGGCAGGATTCTGTTGTAGGAAGGTGGCCCATTAAAGAGAAATTAAGAGCCCGGAATCCGTGATTGGCAGGAGTCAGCTGCACACACCCGACTCAGACACCGGCCGATGCACACAGCTTATCTAGGTAAGCAGGAGTCCACCCTCTGTGGTTCTTTTTGACCAGTCTTTAAATCGTGGTCCATGATTTGTTCTTTAGGTCACACCGAATAACCCCACGCAGACAGAGTTCTTGACAGAGTTTTGAAGGCCCACAAAAGACAAAAAGGCTGCACAGGTGATCGCAGGCAAGATAGGGAAGTTCTGCAGCACGTCCATGCATCCCCGGTGGTGCTGGCTTGATGGCCTTTCTTCATCGGGCTGCTGCGGTCCAACTGGCCAAACTCCTCCTCTGGGCTCTTCAGACCACTGGCAGGAAGGAAAAACAGGTTAAGCACTGTGGGCCAGACCCCAGCCAACCTGCTGAAACAAGCTTGGGACAGAGACTTAGAGACGGCATCAGCCAATGTCACCAGGTTCTCTCAGACACTACGCCCAAGTCCACATTCTGCTGGTTCAACCTCAGGGGAAGCAGTTTCTGAAATTGTGCGATAGAGCCAAAGGGAGCCAGAAGGGCAACAAAGTGAGACGAGTTGTAGCAGAAGAGAATGGGCGGTGGGGGGTGAACCTTGTCGTGAGGGCTTTAAGTCAACCCAGTGTGTGGCCAGTTCCCCTGGAAAGGGGAGCTTGGTGGGCAGATCCTGAGCTGGACCAGGGCCTGATGGCAGAATGGCTTCCCCTAAGGCCATTGAAGAATGGACCCACTTATTTTTTAATTGGTGGGCCCTGAGGGCATCCTCTACGGCTGTCACAGTGAGGCAGAATGGACATGGTCCTCAGCTCCTGAGTTCAGCTCAGCCCAGACATCTTCCTGCCCTGGTCCCTGCTCCCTCCCATGGTTCCACTGGAGGTAGAAGGGATCACCCTGGCACAGGGGTGAGTCACGGCTGGTCTGCTCCAGCAGGACTTATGTGTGGGCACCTCAGCCTTGAGGCCCAGCAGGCCTGGCTGGTGCTACAGGAGGTTGTGGATATGCGCATCGTCTCAGGGAAAGGGGCTGCAGCCCTGGGGGCTGTCTCTGAAAGGCAATATCCACCCCCAGGCTCAAAGCTATCTGCTTCTCAAACGTGGGTAGAGAAGAAGTGACATTAACAAGAAATTTACTCTACCCCAGATGACTCTGGGGAGGTCAGACAAATGCTACAAAATCTATGACCACTTTTCTTAAAAGATTTAAACATTTTCCTATGGGTGCTAAAATTAGAAATAAAAAAATCTACCTTCATTAGCTCAATGGATGGCCCCCCCAAGGCAGCGGAAGGGAAATGTGAGTGGGGCCTTCAGAGGCCCCCGTTCTTGTCCTGTCTTGTACTGACTCATAGGGGAACCCAAGGAGGCCTTCAGCAGACTCAGTTTACCCACATCATTCATGACTCATCCTTCTCTTAAGGCCATTACAAAGATCAATGGATTTGCAACCTCAAGAGCCGTGGGCATCCGCAGAGAAAGCGCTGCTCATGCACAGTTACTGTGTGCTCATTTACACTCACAATTACTTGGTTATTGAAATGAAGAACAAACAAATGGAGCTCCTGGGCCTTCGGCTCCCTCCAGGCCAGGCTACATGAGGTTTAACAACATGTAAGTGTGCAGCCTCCCAGTCACCGTCCTCCTTACACTCTCCTCGCACTCTGGGCTTCTGGAATGCCAACTGCTTACGAAAGGACGCCCCAGGGTAGATTAGCCATTGGTGATTGTCTGCTGACCCACCACTTCCTCTAAAGGAACTTTCATTTAATGATGGGCTCTCTTGGTCAAAACAGCATCCCAGGAAATCTTGTTGATGTAAAACTTTTCAGGGCTTTTCTAGATAAAGGGGCCACTCAATCCCATGAGCCCAGTGCTAGGGATGCTGAGATGAACTAAGAGTTGGGCTCCACATCCAGATGTCCAATATTCTTTGTGGATGTTGGTGAAAATGTTCATGAAACAATAATAAACTTGATGAAGATCGCAGAATCTAAGAGTTTGAAGGGTCCTTGCAGACCTTCTATAAGCCAAATCCCTCTTTTTACCAATGAGAAAAGGGAAGTGATTTTCTCAAGGGAAAGAGCATGAACACCTGGTGAGTGTCTACAACTCGTGATACACTCTATATGTAGTTTCTGTCAGCACTCATCCAATTTGTACAACATCTTTTTAAGAATAAGAAAATTGGGCCGGCCCGGTGGCGTGCGCCACTTGGGAGTGTGGCGGCGCTCCCGCCGAGGGTTTGGATCCCATATAGAGACGGGTCTGCTCACTGGCTGAGTGAGGTGTGGGCGCAACACCGAGGGTTGCGATCCCGTTGCCGGTCCCAGTCCGGTACGGGCATGACACTGAGGG